GGGAAAGGAAAGAAGGGAAAAGAAAAAATATGAGAAAAGGAAAAAACATGGAAACAAAGTCTTTGCAAATAGGGAAGGGTGGAGGGGTTGAAGGGAGGGCAAGGGAAAGGGAAAAAATTAGAACCGAGATACATCATGTAAAGGCACAAGATCCTAGTGATGAATGCAACTGTATTGTATACCTAAAATGTACCAATAAACTTAATGGAAAATAGAAAGAAAGAAAGAAAGAATTTTATATTGGGGAGTTGGACATAGAGGCGCATACCTATAATTGTAGCACTCTGAGCGGCTGAAGCAAGAGGATCACAAGTTTCATCCCAGCCTGGACAACTTAGTGACTTAGTGAGATCCTGTCTCAAAAACAAAAGAAAGAAAAAGAAAAAAAGAGCCAGGAATGTAGCTCAGTGTGAAGATCCTGGGTTTAATCCATAGTACTCAGAGAGGGAAAGGGAGAGGGGAATTATATGGGGAAAATTATGGTAGAGAAAATCTTAATGATAAAGTGCAAGATTATCTTTGTAATCACTAGTACAGTGTGTTTCAAAGTTGCCTGCTATATAAGTTTTCACCTGAAAAACAAACTAAAAATTAAAAACCTCTAACTTGAAAAAGTAATTTAACAAAAATTACTCAGTTAATTTAATAAATACATATTTTGGTCCAGATTTTTCAAGACTCAAGTTAATTATCTGTAAATTAACTGTTCAACTGCCAAATAAGCCTTTAATTTTGAACTTCGTGGAAACATTTTATATATTGAGATTATCCTTTTATAGTATTTGTCAGAAATGATATTTCAGATGTTTTGTTGCCAAGCAATATGTCCAGGTGTCATGATGTTTTACAGCATCCAACTACGTACTGTGGTCCAGTAAGGACTGGTATTTATAAGCAATGATTTATCACTTAAGACCAATCCAACTATTTTGCAACTTGAAAAGAATAAACTCTTTAATGAATTAGATTGTGTAACATAGAGAATAGCAGAATTTGTCAAAAGAGATTAAGTATTTACATTTTACTAGGAATGCCATATGCTGGAAAACTTTCCTTGGCATAGTTCAAATTTGAGAAAGGAAAATGTCTTCGATATTTTCTTCCTCTCTCCTTCCCTTTTCTTATGGTGCTGGAAGTCAAACCCAGAGCCTTAGGCATGCTAGGCTAGGCCTCTGTCACTCAGCCATATCCTTAGCCATATAGATAGATAGATAGACAGATAGATAGATAGATAGATAGATAGATAGATAGATAGATAGATATAGATATAGATAGATATATATAGATATAGATATAGATAGATATATATAGATATAGATATAGATAGATATATATAGATATATATGGGTTTTTTGGTTTTGGTTTTGGTACCAGTGATCAAACTTGGGATCTTGCGCTTGCACCGCAGGTGCCAGAACCACTGTGCTAAATCCCCGCCCCCTGCCTCTTATATTTTTTATGTGATCATTTTAGTGTTTGACTAGTTGTGAAGGCCTCAGACATTATTTACATGACACAATTTTCTATTTGTTTTTTTTTTTCTTTTTGTAGGTTCCTGAGGGAAAAGTAGTTGTCCTTAATTTTCGATTCATAGACCTTGAGAGTGACAACTTGTGTCGCTATGACTTTGTGGATGTGTACAATGGCCACATCAATGGCCAGCGCATTGGACGCTTCTGTGGCACATTCCGACCTGGAGCCCTGGTATCCAGTGGGAACAAGATGATGGTGAAGATGATTTCTGATGCCAATACAGCAGGGAATGGCTTCATGGCCATGTTCTCTGCCTCTGAACCAAATGAAAGAGGTACTGTTTCCCTATAACAACAACAGTAATGATGGCTCCTGGCTATTGAATGCTACTATGTGTCAGACACAGTTCTTGGCACTTTATATATGTTTACTCCTGTAATGTAAAGTTTAAGAGCAATTCTTCTTAAACAGAGAGTTAAGGAATGCCACTAAACCACCAAGAGACTATTTAAAAATCAATCTTTTACAAAGTCCATATACATTCTTGTAAAAATTCAAATATAGAAATTCACGGGTAAAAGTGTGATATATAAATATATAGATAAACACACTCTTTTACCTACTATAGTCTCCTCTCCAGAAATAGCTATGGCCAATAATTTCTGTATCTATATGTGTGTTTATTTATATTTATGTATTTTTCACAATATCTTTTAAAATATAAATGCAATCATATGTTAATATTATTTTATAATTTTTTCTTTTTACATAATGCTGTCTTGGGATATTTTCATGTTAGTACATGTGAGCTTCTTAGGGTAGTGACCTTAGTGCATCAAACAAGATTTGTGAGTTTTCATCCTTTCACCAAAGAAAACTCCCTAATCCACCCTGGGATTGGGCTGTAATACAACATTACTGGCTGGAGATGTCAGAAGACAGGATCTCGGACTGACAGAGCAGCATGAATGTGAGGAGAAAATCCTAGCAGGGAGCTGCAGAAGAATTGAAGCACAAAGTACACATATAAATTTTACCCAACTAAAATGTGGGGGAAAACCCAGTTGGCCTGGCATTAATCCATCAGCTGGAAGATGAAAGAACCAAACAGAGGTTACAACTGCTGCCCACTGCCCCAGGGACAGACTTTGAGTTTGAGTCTAGCCAAGTTAAATGCCTGCTAAATCAAAAATCATTTCTCATAGGAACTCAACCAAAGCTAACGTGTATCATTCATAATGCCCAATATCTACTCATATAATGAAACATGAAAAGTGTGTCCATACTCAAGTTAGCACACAAGCACTCTAAAGCAGCAATTACAGATTTGTTTCAGGGAAATATATGTAGAGTAAATAAACAAATGAGAAGCAGAAATTTTTTTTTTAAAGAAGAAAGTGAGATAAGGCAGGATGGCACACACCTGTGATCCCAGTACTCAGGAGGCTGAGGCAGAAAGATTGTGAGTTCAAAGCCAGCCTGGACTACATAATGAGACCCTGTCTCAAAACAAAAAGATTCTAGAGCTAGCAGACAGGAATCTGACATTGAAAAGTTTACCTCGTGAGTCTACCAGTTGATTAGAGATGACAGAAAAAGAGTCAATGCACTTGAGTAGAAATAATCTAATCTGTAGAAGCAGGAGGAAAAGCATTGAAGAAAAAGAGCTTCAAAGACCAGTGAGACAATATCAAGTGGTCTAATATATGTGTAATTTTTATCCCAGAAGAAGTAGTAATAGTAATAGTGCAGAAAAAATGTAAGGAAATAATGACTTGATTTGATCTAAACTTGGTGAAGAACATCAATTTATAGAGGCAAGAAGTTCAACAAATTCTGAACAAGATAAATAAAAAAATGAAGCTATATACTTCATGACATCATAAATTACAGAAATCTAAAGATAAAGATAAAATCTTGAAGTCAAGCAGATAAAGCCAAGTTATACACAGAACAGGGGTGTAAATGATGGTTTTCTTTTCCCCAGAAATAAAGGAGGCCAAAGGGCAATGGCACGGCATTCTTCAAGTGCTAGAATAAAATTATCAACCTGGATCCTATTGACAGTCTCCAAACATGATAGGGAAATAAAAGCATTTTCAGATAAACACTAAAAATATCTGAAAGACATTTTTATACATTTTATACATAAGAAATAGTGAAGTCCTTTAAGTTGAGAGAAATTACCCCAAAGGGTACCATGAAGGTAGAGGAAGGAATGAAGATCATTGGAAATGGTTAATTGAAAAGAGTACATATAATTTTCTTCACACTTACCTGTTCAAAACAAAAAATTAACACTGTGTAAGGGTAGGGAATGGGAAAGGGGACCTTACCAGAACCTCTGCAGTTTCCTGTGAGCCGCTAAAATACAAAGCTGCTAAGAATAAAGACAAGAAACAAGACTTAGAGAAAAAGCTGGGTTTGGGACCTGATCAGTGCTGCTCTAGGCAGCAAAGACAAAGGCACCCCAAGCTTGCCACCATTTATTGGGTTCCTAGGGATTATCAGCTGACTCAGAGGGTGGTGATAATTTTAAATTGACAAGGATCTTATAATCAGAGGAAATATCAGATGACTCAAAAAGTGGAGGATGCTGATGAGGATCTTAGGTCGATGAGAAGCTTAACTTGATTAGGACAATGAGATGAGCAAAACATTCTTACAACAGTATGTGAGGTGAATTAAACTGATAAAGAATTTGTCCCTCCCCAAGTTAAACCTTTCTACTCAGTTCTCAAAGACCCAGGATATCTTCAGCCGATATAATCTTGCTCTTGCACATCACAGCATCACAGGACTATTGAGGCCTCAGACAGCCTTAATCATAATTTAATTGTGAAATGATTTTCCCCCAAAATTATGTAGAATGGCTCCTGGCATATAAGAAATATATAATGTATATGTTTGGCAACCAAGGGATGGAGAGATAAATGTAACCTTACTGTCACACGTATGCACACATACATATACAATATGTGAAATACCATAGTAACTGAGTAGATTGTGATAGGTTAAATATACATATTGTAATCTCTAGAGTACCCATTAAAAGTGCAAGAGTTATAGCTAAAAGCCAAAAGGTTAAAGTAGAGCACTAAAATTATCCAACTAGCTTAAAGCTGGAAGAACAGATGGAATCAAAGAAAGATGAGACAAATAGAAAAATAGTAAATGGCACAGCAAATCCAAATATATTGATCAATGTGTTAATACTCCAGTTAGAAGACAGTTACTGTTAGAATGAATTTAAAAATAAGACTCAACTATCTGTTGTCTACAAGAAAGCACCTGAAACATAAAGATCAAATAATTGAAAGTAAATGGTTGAAAAAATATGTGCTACGCAAACTTCATTAAAACTAATGTTTATAAAAAGACACTATTACAAACATGAATAGGCAACTTAAAGAATAAGAGAAAATAGTCACAAAATGTCTGATAAGAATTTGTATCCAGAATAAAGAACTCATACAACTCAACAACAACAACAACAAAAATAAGTCTCAATAGATGTAAAAATGGGTAAAACACTTAGGCATACATTTCTCAAAGAAAGATATGAATGGCCAATAAGTACATGAAAAATTGTTTAATATCATTAGTCATCAGGGAAATGCATGTTAAAATCACAATGAGATACCATTACTTACCCACCAAGTTGTCTAAAACACTGACAGCCCCACATGGTGGCAAGTATGTGAAGCAACCAAAATTCTCAAACCTTGTACACTAGAAAATGATATAAATAATTGGAGTAAAATTTGGGTACTTTTTAATAAAGTTAAAGGTCTACATCTACTCTTGGCCCAGCAATTGTGCTCCTGGGTATTTATGCAAAAAAAGTGAACATCCATATCCCCAAAAATTTGCACAAAAATATTTGTAGCAATCTCTTTTATAGTAGCCTCAACTGGAAAGAACTCAAGTGAACATCAGCAGGAGTACATTGTACCATTTCCATGCAATGGAATACTATTTGGCTATGGAGAAGAACAGACTACCAAGATAAATAGCCACACAAATCTTGTAGACATTATGATCAGGCAAGATAAGCCAAACACAGAAGAGCACCCCTACACGATTCCATTTATAGGGAGCTCTAGTACAAAATTAATGTGAAAATTTTCAAAAAAAGTAGAATGAGGAATTGCCAGCTTGGTACAGAAATATTTTGTGAGAGATGGATTCTATGTTATCATAGGAGCATGACTTACACAGATGCATCCATTTTTCAAATATGTATAGCTAAGGTTTGTGTGTTTCAAAGAATATGAACTTATCTCCCTCAAACCTATGAAATAATAAAAAATGAAGCAGTTGGGATTAGGTAGCAATATAGTGATGATATTTGTTGAAACTTGGTGATCAATACATAGGAGATCAATATATAATTCTAGGGCTGGGGATCTAGCTCAGTGGTTCTGCTGCCTGCCTCACAAGCACAAGGACCCAAGTTTGATCCTCAATACCAAAAAAAAAAAAAAAAATATATATATATATATATAATTCTATTCAGTTTGTATATGCCTGAAATCTTTTATTAAGAGTTCCAAAAATTATTCTAAACTTGATTTTTTAGAGTGCATTTTCTTAAATTGAGAGATTTGTTTTAAGAATGATTTTCTGTATCCAAGAAATGTTTCAATAAAGTATATTATTTCCTCTAGTTTCAACTCAGTTTTTATTTATTAAATGCAAGTGAAACTAAATTTAGAACATAGTATTAATGTAACTTTCTAAAATTTAGAACATTGTATTAATATAAACTTCTAAAATTATTTGTCAGTGTATTAGTACAATTGCATTATATATTAGTACATACATTAGATATTTGAAATAATATTTGTGGAATTTTTTTCCATATTTAATAACTTCAGGGGACCAATATTGTGGAGGACACCTTGAAAGACCTTCAGGCTCTTTTAAAACCCCCAACTGGCCAGACCGGGATTATCCTGTAGGAGTCACTTGTATATGGCACATCATAGCCCCCCCAAACCAGGTGAGGCTCCTGAAACTGTGAAGAAGGTGTGCATGTGTGAATTTCCCAGACAGTGTGAGGGGCCCACTCTTAGGGCCCTCTGGCTGTGGGGCTCATGCAAGAACTAAAGATAAGGGAGAGGAAGGCCCTGCTCAGCACAGGTATCTTCATATGAAGACCCAGTTAAAATTGCCTTTTGCATTATTTCACTTGCAAAGTCATGGATTAAATTTCCTATTATATGATAACAACTTTCAAAACAAATGGTAGGCAAATTTCACGTAAGATTATTTAACCCTGTAGCAGGTTTTACGAGCATGCTATTGTAAGTAGTAGTGAGTAATTGTAGGTGGATAAAATCCTCAGATACATGTACATTGCAAACCCATAGCAAACCCATCATGTCACAGTCATCCTAATCTCCAAATCAAAAACAGTGCATGTTTCTCACTTCAACAAAACCAACAAAAGCCATATCGTCTCTTTAACAAGGTGTCTAATGTGAAAGCTGGTCTCTTTTAGGATGCTTTTGGTTGTTGTTTAAAATAAAGTTTGTATAAATTGCACACAAAAACTTTATTTATTGCTCTAAAACAGTCAAGAGAGAAGTTCTAGTTTTCTAGTATTTATTAGTTTGTGGTTTTATGAATTTTTGCCCTTTCTGGGAACCACTTTCAGATATTACTAGTAGGACAGAACTTGGCAAAGAAATAAATATAACTTACTTTGTGAACTTTTAAATGTAAGTTTGTAAAAATATTACAAACACTATAGAATTTAATCCAAACACTAAGGTGAGCATTGTGACTGGTTTTTAAAACTTTTTTCTAAATTGATCTTTCAAAACAAAATAAATTGATCTTTCATATAGTTTGCACAAATAATATTTGTCATATATTTATTTTTAAAGTAGACAATTATTCAGTTCAGTGTACCATGCAAGTCAGTGATTTGAACACACATTCACACACGTACACACATGTACACACTTTAATTATAATCCCAAAACTAATTTTTATTTTTAAGAAGAAAAATATAGTCATTTATCTAATAATGGAAGACATATTTCTGAAATTCTTAAACCATTATATAATTCTTGAAATTAAATTGATCATTTTTTCTCTCTAAGACATATGTGAATGTATTTGACCAAATAATTTCAAATTAATTTACTGATTACAGTTCAACATCTCTTTTCCATTGTTCTCCCCTTTGTTTGAGTTTGTTAATATGATTTTTGGCTTCTGCCAATAGTGTTTTCCATAATCATTGTAGTGTTTTAAATCACTACCAGCTTTTTCCAAAAGAGAAAAATATTATGGGACAATTAGGTCTTAAATAATTTGTATACATATCTGTAGATTTATCTATTACTAAAGAATCACCTCCACTTTTTAATTATAGCTTTCATTCTCTTTATTTAATTATTCCTAATCTCTCCAAACATTTTTACATTACTAATTTCTAAAGGAAGTTCAGCTAGTTTTTAATGGAAAGTATATTATGAGTTGCTATATTAATTACTGGTGAAAAGGGAATTTTTTAATACAATTTAAAGCAATTTTAAGTAAGAATAAGCTACTATTCTATATCATGGCTTTGTTTTGTTTGGTGCCAGCGATCGAACTCAGGTCCTTGTGCTTGCGAGGCAGGCGCGGTGCCACTGAGCTAAATCCCCAGCCCTGTATCATGAATTTTTTAAGGTACGTAAGTATATAGATGTGTAGCAATTATGTTCAAAACCAAAATTCACCATGTGTCCATCTGTGCTGCTGGTGCTTCTGTTACCATCTTCACTCTGATTATTGTGTGAGTCTCCTTAACAAATAGGAATTAATGCCCAGTATCTCACAAGAACTGGGTTCTGTTATCTTTACTGAAGTAGCAAGGAGGATTCTATCCACCTGCTGTCCAGCAAGAGAGGACGACATCAGCTGTCTGATTGCCATGGGTGTTAATAGACCCAGTGAGACTTTCTTAGATTCACAATTCAGAAGTGTTGTTAAAGAATCTGCTTATAAGGGAAATGATCCATTGCCTACTAAATTAAAATTTCCTATTCACTAGGATAATTTAGGATACTATTCTTGGTACTAGAACAAAAAATTAAGAAACACTTAAGAATCCTAACACTGTGTATTAGTGCTTCTGTGCAACCTCTTCAGAAATCAACCACATCCCAAGTAGGCGCTACTTCTTGTGCTCACATTTAAAACATCCTTGAGAAAGACGCTGCAGCCAATTCCTACTTCCCTAAATCTCTGAACCTAAAAATTTGACTCCTCTGTATGTAATAGGAATTCTCAAAAGGAGAACAGCTCTATTCATCTTACCTACACATGTATCCACACACATACGTACCACACCCTGATGTACTTTACTATAGGGGACAGTTACATAATAGATCTCCAGAACCAATTACAGTCTGCAGGTTGCTAGAGTTACACAGTGTTCCCAAACTTTTATTGCTGTAAGTGAACAGAGCCCTTAAATTTAAGATCCTAACTAGGGTTTATCTGGGTTTGAGATTGTCTTTTGTAATGATTAAAAATGAAAGCAAAGGGCCAGGGATTTAGCTCAGTGATTCCGGCACCTGCCTCACAAGCACAAGGTCCCGAGTTTGATCCCCAGTACCAAGAGAAAAAAAAAAAAACGAATGCCATAGTTTGGTTAACTAAATAAGAAACCTGGCAAGGGCTGGGAATTTAGCTCAGCAACATAGCGCCTGCCTGATAAGCACAAGGTCCTAAGTTCAATCCCCGGTACCAAAAGAACCAAAAAAAACAAAAGAAATATGGCAATAAAAAAAACATCAATACAATACTTTTTTTTTAACAAAGAAAAACTATGGTATCCTACAAATCTGGAAAGCAGAAATTTTCCTTGGAAGGTTGTTCAACAATGCTATTTTGACACTTCTGTGTTGTGCTTTTTCTAAAGCTTATAGAATTAAAATTTGAGAAGTTTGATGTCGAGCGAGATAACTACTGTCGATATGATTTTGTGGCTGTGTTTAATGGTGGAGAAGTCAATGATGCTCAGAGAATTGGAAAATATTGTGGCGACAGTCCACCCGCGTAAGTAGTACCTGTTTGGGTCATTCAGATTTTCATGACTCTAACTTGATTTTTTTTACCCAATTTTTCAGTTGCATTTATTTCCTGGAAGGTTTTACACTATTGTTTCATTGTAAATTCCAGGGTTCTAGGCCAGTGAAGCCCCACTGAACACTAAAAATTATATTCGTATCTGTAATTACACAAAAATGAAAAATAGGTGGATTGGAAACTTAAATGAGAATTTCTCTTCATCCAAATATATTTTAAAGAGAGGGCAAAGAGAAAGCTCAAATGGAAACACATATTTGTAACATGTATTTGACAAAAGTCCTAGGTCCCAGAATATACCAAAAGAATCCTAAAAATTAATAAAGAAAAGACAAGTTGAGAGAAATTGGGCAAAAAAACAGAAAAGGCATTTCCAAAAGAAGAAAGTTCCATAGTGAACAGACCTTTGGAAAGAGTGGAAATTGGTACAACCTTTGGAAATCAGTTTGGCATTCCCTAATAAACTTGGAAATGACGATATATCATATAACTTAGAGGACAGCCTATGCCCTGCCCTCTGGTGTCCAGATTAGAGATAGTTTTGCCCATGTACACCACCTCAGCAATATTTGTTTGTAATGGGGGGCAGCCCAGTGTTTATCAACAGATTAGCTAAATTGTGTGAAAGTACACACTACATAGCAATGAAAACAGGTGAATCTCAGTTATAAGATGCGGTGAAACAAACAAAAACAAAAAAATACATACCACACCCCTTCATTTACATGAAGCTTAAACACATGCAAACTTATACAATATATTATTCAGTGATGCACGTATTCAAGAAAAACCTATAGGGAAAAGCAAGGAAGTTGCCGGGGATTTAGCTCAGTGGTTCTGGCGCCTGCCTCACAAGCGCAAGGTCCCAAGTTCGATCCCCGGTACCAAAAAAGAAAAGCAAGGAAGTGATAAGCACACAATTCAGGCCAGAGTTGCCTCCTTGAGGGTGGTGTGGGGCAGGTGATGGAGGCCATTGTTGAGCAGTACTTGTTCAGAGGAGTGTGACTAGCGTAGCTTTACTGTGAGCCCACCAACTAACACTTCTACCCAGAGGAATATTTTTCCATAGTTAAAATACTTCTGGGGTAGGACAGTGAAGAACAGTCAGGACAGTGAGGAAACCTATGTGGGGAGAATTCCCCGTTAGAAGTATGAATAGGAGGGCCAGTGTGGTGGAGCACACCTGTAATCTTAGCACTCGAGAGGCTGATGCAGGAGGATCGCCATGAATTTGAGGCCAGCCTGGGCTACTTAGTGAGTTCAAGGCCAGCCTGAACTACATACCAAGACCTTGTGTCAAAAAAAATTTGAACAGGAGGAACATTGAGGATATGGGCACATCACCTCATCATACTCATGTCTGGTTCAAATGCAGTATGAGGGCCATTGAACTTAGTTAAATTCATTAAATTCACACTGACATCAGCTGTGTGCTGAGGGTACCCTGAATACAAAGATAAATATTTAAAATACAAAGAGAAGTAGTGGAATATCCTGAATGGAGTCATTTGGCCTAGTCAGGGCACATGGTCAGGGGAGGCTTTTAGGAAGAGATAGTGCCTCTTGAAGGAAGGAAGGGTTGGAGTTAGAGGCAGAGGGAGGTCAGCCTCCTTCCAAGCAGAATGAATTCTACTCATGAAGATGTGCAGGAGGATAGATGCTATTTCTGATGCCTAAACCTTGTGCTGAGGCCTTTAGAAAGATGAGCAGAAGGGGAGAGTTGGGTTCCATGTCTGCACAGATGGGGCCTCTCCAAGCACATGTAGGTGGCAGTGAGGGGTGCAATGTGCCCTAAGGCCCTAAAACCCCCATCCTGGATGAGATGGAGCAGGAGGCTAGTTAAAGGCTGCTACCATGGGCTGGGAAAAGCCCAAGAGGTAGAGAAGGTGGTAGAGCTGAAGAAACATTTCAGTGGGAAGATGAGTAGGGTAGGTTGGTTGGCTGAGGAGAGGAAGACTGGAGTGACAGGCCAGGGACAGCTGCCATAGCTACTCTGAGCCACAGAGACAGCATCTCGATCTGTTCCTGGGAGCCCCCAGTGTAGAGTAGAGCTAAGTGAGATTTCGCCTTGCCTTTCTCCTTCCTAGTTATTTGTAACATTAATTTGCAGGTGCAAAACTTAGCCCTCAGTACATTATAGCACTGTGATTTTGCACATTTATACAAAGCTCAGTGGCACCATAACAAAAATCTGTCTTTGTTACTAAAATACTCTTCCTTGGGAAAATTCAATTTCCGATATAATGTCTCCAAGAATAGTTCATAGAAAAGGCAGTGGGTGATCACTATAATTACAACATCATATGTAGCAGGCAAACCTGATTGGGTCTTAAGTTCTCCTTTGCTCCTTATAATAAGTGCTTTTGTAATTTTATTATTTCAACAATATTAACATGTTTTAATTGTACATGAGAATCATGTTCAGTGCATTAGTTTTATTTCAAAGTAATAAAAGCAAGTTATAATGTTTCTGTTAAAGGCTAAAAATCTCAGAAGCATTATTTAAATGACTTCTGTTGATGTAAGTCATGAAACTCACTTTTATGTTCTCTGTGGGCAGCATCTGGCTCCCCGGTGAGCTTGAAAGAAGTCACACTATTCCCAAGTTAGGTGAACCCCAAGATGCTTGTGGAAAACCAGCAAGAGCATGAACATTTACAGTGCTTCCAGTATCTGCCACTGTCTCTGGAGTCAATGGGTCCTGAGTTCAAACCCTGACTCCCACATTTTGGTTATGGGGCCTGGGGCAAATCACTTGAACTCTCAGAACCTCAGTTGACTTATTCCATAAAAAGGGGATGATGGGTTGTGGAGATGGAATGAGAGAAGAGCAGTGCCCAGCTGAGCAAGAATCTATAAATGTTAGCTCTTAGCATTCATATTTAGGAGATTAAGACTTTTTCCTTTTTAAGTGTTTGGGCTTTTAGGTTTAAATCAATGACAAATCTATTGTCAGAAATTAATGGAAAGCCAGAAAAATTTATATTTTCGGAGATACCACTTATACTTTAAATGTACATATGGATGTATATTTTTTTTAAACATGTTTTTGTTTTTTAGACCTATTGTATCTGAGAGAAATGAACTTCTTATTCAGTTTTTATCAGACTTAAGTTTAACGGCAGATGGATTTATTGGTCACTACAAATTCAGGCCAAAAAAATTGCCTACAACTACAGCAGCACCCGTTACCACTACAAACCCAGGAACTACAAGTAAGTTTTCCTGTTTGGAAGTTGTGTAAAATTTAGGAGCATAAAAAGAATTCTTGCTGGACATGGTGGTGCATACTTATATCTCAGTACTCAGGAGACTGAGATAGAAAGATCATTTGGAGCTCGAGCCCAGCCTGGGCTACCTAAACTACACACCAAGACCCTGTCTCACAAAACAAAACAAAACAAATAAAAGAATTATTTTGAAGTAGAAAATAATTTAGTAAGAGGAAGATATTTGAAACTAAAAAATTATGTACAAGAATAATTACTCCATTAAGAAAAGGATAGGGTGTGTGAATGCATGTGAGCTAGTTGTTTTAAAATCTCATGGTCAAGTCAGGGTAATTAGCACTTCCATCTCCTTAAACACTTGTCATTTCTTTGTGTTTGGAAACTTTGAACTTCTCTTTCCTAGTTGTCTATAAAATACATAATAAATTGTTATAAACTAGTTATCCTACTATGTTTTAGTAGAACACTAAAACACATGCCTCCTATATCATTGCAATTTGGTATCCACTGTCTGACCTCCCTTTATCCCCCACTCCCTTCCTAGCCTTTCATGTTTTTTTTTTATAATTGTGGCCCCACTATCACCACACCTGTTCAATATAGTTCTGGAAACATTAGCCACAGCAATTAGAAAAGAGAAAGAAATAAAAGGAAGATAGGAAAGGAAGAAGTTAAACTGTCATTATTCACTGACGATATGATACTCTACATAGAACACCCAAAAACCACCAACAAAAGACTTCTAGACTTAATTGACAGATTCAGTAGAGTAGCTGGTTACAAGGTCAACACTCAAAAAGCAATAGCCTTCTTGTACACAAATAACAGACTCACTGAGAGAGAAATTAGGGAAACAATTCCTTTTACAATAGC